CTTCAGGATATAGACAATTATAATTCTCTGCAAATTCTTTTGACTTCTTGAGAAATATTGTAGAGCAGTTTCTTATTACCTTTTCCACAGATTTGAATTCAAAGTAGTTCTTCTTCTAACCTGGCTACCACACAATGCTAGAGAACCCAGTCTACCCTCTTGTTTAACCAATAGCTGAGGGATTTTATGTCTTTTTCACACTTTTCTTTTATGTTTTGTTTCCCTTCAGGATGTGGGTGATCATGACTCTCCACAACCTCCTGTCTCTTGTTGCTCTTAGCATTTTACTATTCCTTTTTATCCCTGCTCTCCCATCCATTCACCCAAACTGTTACTTGCTGTTTCTCTCTGCCCCTCCTTTCTTCAATATGTCCTGAGAGTGTTAAATTTTCCAAGCCTTATTTCCTCATAATGTATCCCAGAAATTTCATCTGTGTCTTTCTGATTTTTTTCACAATATAAAATGGAAAAAGATTGTTAAAATTTTATTTGCAGTTGACTATCTTAGTATAATTTATTGCTAAATACAATAATTTTATTGACTTGGAAATATTTTTTTAAGGAGAACTTTTAAAAAATTAGAAATATCTAGTAATTATTTTTCTTGGTGATGATTCAATCAATAACTTTGTCATTTAAAAATAATCAAATTGTTATTATTCTGTATGTTGTTGTTTTTGTAATATTTCTAACCAAATGCCAAGTTCTTTTTTTTTCTTTCACTGGGATAGTTTTCTAGAATATTCCACATTTTTATTACAGTTCAAAAGTTTGAAGGAACCTCTAGTCATTTTTTTTAAATTGGTCCAAAAAGTAGTAGTTTTGTACTTTAAATAAGAGAAAATTATTACACATTGTTAAAAAAGTGAGACATGAGTTTTTATTAGAAATTTTATTATGACAAAATGAAAAAAAAATACATTTTATGATTGAATTTTGCTCTTGTTAAAATATCCTCTTTCAACAACAGAAAGTTATTGCAAAAGTTACTTAAAGAATAAGTTTGATAATTGATTCCATTCTCTTTTCAATAACTCTAAGAGCTCTTTTTCATTTTTTTTTTTTTTTTCATTTTTCTGTCAAGTGAATTCCATGCTAATTCTGGAGATGCTCTAAACTTTTAAACTGTATTGTAGATGAAATTTGAATTATAATAAGCAGTTCAAGTGATTGACAATGGATTATATTTACCATACCAATTTATTTTGATAAAATGATCTTATGGCTATGTTCATAAATATAAGATATCTTCTAAGACTTTTCAAAATTATATATTCACATTTTGATGTCATCAGTTCCCGACTCAGTATCTGTGCTGATGACACAATTATTTACCCTTGTCTTTATACTATAGTAAGTCTAATGTTTGGATCAGATACAATAAATTTAGTATAGAAGATAAGGAATTTGAACATAGAATAAGCTATGCTAGATATAGTTTATATATATATATATATATATATATATATATATATATAAATGTTCATCCAAGGCCTAAGAACCGGTTAAGGTAGAAGGTTACTGTGTGGTGTTGTATGAGCATAAGAAAGGCCAAGAAGTGAAGTTCACGTGGTTATGCAGGAAAATTAACGGATAACCCTAGACTTGAAGAGGCCAGGATTATAGTGATTAAGAAAAAATCTTGCCAGGAGTCTGTTCCACAAAGCAGCAATTCTTGGGAAGAAGCTGTCCAAGTGGAACTTACTTCTTACTAAATGGAATGAAAAGGGAATGGAGAAGATTTACACTTGTGTAAGTGGCATGGCAGGTTCCACTTGTAAAGATCAGAGTTGGTAAGACTAAGGAAACCTAAAAATGAGTCTTTTTCCTAAATAACCATAATGTTTGAAATATCTAAACTGTCAGATATATACAGCCGCATTTCTCAGAGTGAGGGAAGTGTGTAGGCCTCAGTAAGCACCATCCTTCCTCAAATTTTGTGGACTAGCATTGTAGAATCTCGAAGAAAGAACTGCACTGGCTAACAGAAACAACATCCTTGATGACTCTCAAGTACAGCAACAACTAAAATGGATTGCAAATGTATCTCAAACAGAGGATAATTATATAATCAAGATGTTAACATTCCACCCTACCACAAGCAAATGGCAAGGAACAAAGCCGCTATCAATGCTGGAAGGAGCATTAACTGCAACCAGACTTGAGAAATCTATTTTCCTGAAAAATTCTTTCAAGAGAAAGATTTTATAAATTTCAGCCAACAACAGCACTCTCAGTAGCCCCTTGTGTCTTAGTGTCTATATTGTCTTGCTTGGGGTGAAATGGTTATAAAAAAAAATCTTTTTGTAATGGAATCTAATCTATCATTGACAAGGTAATAAAGAAATTTATTGATTCAATGTATTCATACATGCATTAAAAATATATAAAAAAAAAGCATAAAAATGTTTAAATGGCTTTTAAAATAATTTAAAACAACCAAATTGAAACCAGGTAAGAAATAATTTTTATGAGAGTGAGTGTGTAGCACTTTTCACAGAGCTCACAACTATCACACTGGTCTGAAGCAAAAGTACTAGGCAGTGAAGTAACAGTTTAATTCAAGGCAGAAATGCTAGGGTGGTGGCATGCTTTGTTCCTAGACAGAACCCACAGATACTACACTTTGATCTGAATCAATGCACAGATATACTGATTCTAAGCAAAAGGTCTAATCATATATAAATAATCCAGTCTTTTTTTTTATAGACACTGCTGATAAAAAATTCTGTCTATGTTCCATTGGTGAGAAGTTCCTCTCAAGCGGCTTCTTCCTGTGAACCACTATTTTGTGAAACCAACTCCCAAGTGGATATTTTCCCAATCACTACAATGTTAATCTCTTCAAGTCTAGAGTTAACCGTTATCTTCCCCACATATCTGCATAAACTGTGCCTCTTACTCTGTAAACCTCTACCTTGACTGGCTCCTGGGCATTGTACTGGGTGAACCCCAATGTAATATGTAATATATATATATATATATATAAGTTTTAAAAATGATCAAGTTCTAGTTTCCTTCTCCACTCACTTCTCCCTGGGCCCAGGCAAGGAGTAGTTGGGACATTGTCTGAAGAGTGCTTGAGGCATGAAACTCAGTCACCATGCAATGTTGATTTCTATGCCCAAACTATCTATATAATAATAATAATAATAACACAAATTTATTATGCCTAACAAAAACCAGTATATTACTACAATTTAACACATTTAAATATAAGCAGATTTTTGTAAAGAAAGTGCTCAATATAAAAAATAGAATAATAATAGTTAAGGTAAGTAAAAACTAAAGAAACTAACTTTTTAAGTTTCACAGTTACCCTGCTTGTTAAATAGATAAACAAGATTTATATTTTAGATTAAATATAAACATAATTTTTATATATATATATATATATATATATATATATATATATATCATACATTGAGTGCTGGTACTAATAAAATAGTGCTCAGTATATAATAACAGAGCTATAATAAATATAGATTATTTTTCCTCTCTGGTAGCAAATATGTATATTTATTATTAATATATATAATACATTTTCTTCCTCACCAGAAGCATGAGTCTGTTTCATGCACAATGCTATCTTCAAGTTGAATTGAGACTCAATTCTGCACCTGATGATTGTGTTGTGCATGAAACTCAGTCATGCTACTAGCGAGAAAAAATGTATATTTATTATTAATATATAATTTATAGCTCTGTTATATTACATTGAGCATTAATTAACACCAGCACTCAATAGAGAGAGAGAGAGAGAGAGTTTTTGAGGGTGTATTTCTGTTTGCCTTTTTAGTCTTTGAGAGGAGTATTTTTCTTGTGTAAGGTTTTAGATCTTTCACCAAATTGTCTGTTGGTTGTGCCAACATTATTGGGTCCTTTTACTATATATTGTTGCAGGAATCACTTCTTTTGTTGTGAGATGTGAACGTTTTTCAGTAAATGTTTAATGTCTCCTGGTACATTTGTCCCGCAAACAATATTTGGCAGACTCATGTGAATCTGGATAAAAATAATATAAACAGGGATTTTAAACAATGCATGTAATAACAAAAAAATTATATTAATAAGTAAACAGTTGAAAAGAAAGGAAAAAAAATATTAAAAATTTAGCTATTAAGAATGTGCTTCTTTGTGTGTGATACATGCATGTGTATGTGAGTTCAATTGTCAATGGACTGAGGAAAGAACGTGCACCAGCAGGGATGCCTTTTATCTATGTTTTGCTACATCTTGAAGGAAGAAAGAAAGAAAAGAATTGTTTGTCTTTTCATAAACTTAAACAGTGAAGCCAAGAGGGAGAACCCAGAAATATATATATATATATAGTTTTAAGGTGTGCTATATTTATGGGATAAAGTGCTCAATATCAGAGATAGAGGGTATAGATAAATAAATAAATAAACAAGCCATACCCGCCAAAATAACTGCAAGAATGGATTACCCACAATGCACTACTGACCCATATATATAAATAGTCAAGAAAAAAATCCAACACTCGTGGCCTGATGATTGTGTCTAGCATGAAACAGCCTGTTGCCTCTGAGTGTTGACTTGAATGTTCACTTTATATATATATATATATATATATATATATATATTATACAGCAAAAAATCCAAATATATATATATATAAACACACACACATACATAGCAAAAATTATTATTTCATAGTTCAACTTGCCATTTATTTCAGTACTTCCTGTTAAGCTGTGAAATCACTAAAAGACTTGAACTGCAAGAAAAATTTTGTATATTTTGAAAAAGGATATTATTTAGAGAATTCAAACAGAAACTGTTGTTTGTGTTGAACAGAAAAAAAAAGTTTTAAGAGATCATCATTGATTTTCATTCTTTGATATTTCTTTATATATATTCAACTGTGCATCTGAAAATATGTTCATATCATCAAGTTATAGAATTAATTTTTCATTACTCTAACATATAAATCAGAAAACTATTTATTTTTCTATCTTTGGTTTCTTTTCTTTTTACAGGTGAAGTGGACGAGGCTTATGCAGCTGTCAACATTTACAAATCTCTGGAAAAAATATCTGCAGCACTTCGTTCTGCTAACAGCCTTCTGGAAAAACACAAACCTTGGGAATTGGTCAAACAAGATAACCAACAAAAGCATCTACAAACATTATTGCATGTTGCCATGGAAACTCTACGAATCTCTTCCATACTCTTGCTTCCAGTTATTCCAAATTTAAGCCACAAAGTTTTAAACAGACTTGGAGTTTCTCCTTCCCAAAGATTGTGGTGCCATGCTGCTCCTTGCCCATTTATTGATTTGGCACAACAAAATCTTGGAAATGATACAAGTGTTTTGTTAAAACGAATAAAACAATAAATTTTTGCTTGTTTTCTCGGATCTTTACTTGATAACATTAAATTAACAAAAACTCGATATTCTAAACATAAGCTGTGATAAGTAAATTCACATATTGAATATGCATTTACCTCCCTTGGACTTTATTGGAATGTTATTCATCATTGAACATATAATTGCATTTCTCAAGACTAAAATATATTTTTTAAAATATTGATTATACTGATCACAATTCAACATTATTTTTGTATTTTATTCAAATATACAGCATCAAGATAAAATATTAGATAATTTCAGTATTTTTTAAAATTACACCGACTCCTTAGTTTCATAGGCTATACAAAAAATTTGTGAGTTTCCTTAACAGTGTTCATCTCCAAAAAAGGAAAAAATCTCATCTCAGAAAGGCTTCCTTATACTTGTATCCAGCAGCAAGGTTTCTGATTGGAGGTTTTGAGGCGTGTGTTAAATGTTGTGGTTCCCAGGTTCACTTTGATCTGGGGTGGTAGCACCTGTTAGGATCCCAGCCATGGGTAAATAGTGACACCTCAAACAAAAACAAAACACTATGAAAGTATAAAATTACATTTTTATAGTAAAAATATCAGAAATACATTTTTATATAATAAATTATCAACAACACCTATTTATAGTAAAATTACCAACAATACATTATATCTGTGGTTGAGGGCATACAATTGCATTCAAAATATTTAAATTTTGGCATTAAGTAACCCATAAAGGTTGATATGCCACTAAGCAAAAACAACCACACAACCAGCATGAAAGAACTCTTTCATGACATTAATCCATATAATATCCTACAAGTTTTTAAAGAAATCAAACTGTATCCCAAAATATAACTTCAACAAAACTATAACATAAAACACATATCCCTGCTTCTAGTAATTATGCCCACACAAACTTGTATATCCGCAAAAGCTGAACATTCAATTATGAAAGCATAACGTATTCTTATTACTTCAAAGCTCCCAAGAAAATTAAATTTCAGCATTAAATGACCTATAAGGAGTTGATATCCCTTTAAACCAACCAACCAATCAATCATACTTGTAAATTCCTTCATATCCATATCCATATCATATAGTTAATAATACAGTTTTCCACTAACCATTAGAAATTTCCTCATGGTATATAATTGTCAACAAAAGTTAAATTATTTTAATATTAATACTTTCATTGACACATTGTTGCCTGGCTGTGCTGGCTTGTTCTTGGAAAAATAGAAAATTGCTATCTAGTGAAAATAACTGATGACGAAATCTCAGAGGAACTGCCATTTTGGTTTTAATCAGATACCCTGTCATAAAGACTATGCCAAAATGACTCTCCCTTTTTCTTCCGTGTGTTGTGTCCCTTCAGGACGTAGATGATCTTGGCTCCCCACAGCTTCCTATCCTTTGTACTTTTTAGTAAGTTTGCCTTTTTGCTAGCCCTCCCAATCCCTGTACTTTTAATCATCTACACAAGGTATGTTATTCGTAGTTTCTCTCTGTCCCTCTTGCCTTCAGTACATGCTGTGATAAATTCTCCAAGCCTTCTTTCCTCATTATGTGCCCTAAACATTTCAACTGTCCTTTTCTGATTATATAAGTGCCCTTTTCATTTCCATTTTTCTTAAAACTTCCTCATTACTCGCATGTTCAGTCCATGGTATTCTCAGTATCCTTCTGTAGAACAATTCTGTTGCCTCTCAAGCCAGCCTACCATCAAGGCACAACATTGACATTCCATAAAAATGCAAATATTAATAACTCTTTCAGTTATATGTTCTTCCAAATTAAAATTTTCAATTTAGTTATAAATAGAATATTTGTTATTTACATTGTTTAAATTTTCATTTGTAATTTTTGGTAATTCAGCCACAAGATAATTATTTTTAGTAAAATTATAAATTCACAAGTTGTTCAAGCAATAAATCTTCTTTTTTTGATTTTATTGCTACGTTTTGGCAGATGAACCCTCGAGCTTCTTCCATGATAGTAGGAGGTGTTTTTGACTATAGGTGCCGCATATTTGATAATATGTAACACGTTTCCTTTTTCCTAAAAATGTCTTGAAAATATCTTCCAGGTTTTATGAATGAACTTGAGATATCTGGTGGGCTAATGTTTATCTAAATATCATACACTATGATTATATATGTCGTGTCTAATTCCAGAATAATAATATTATGTTTAAAAAGGGAGATCATATATGCCATCAAACATGATAATTCTGTTAAGCTGAATCATAAATAATTTCCATTTGAGTTTATCAAATTTTTACTTAAAAAAATTAAGTACAATTGCATTTTATTTAATCATATATTTACCATCATTTGCAATGAGTTGATCTGTGTAAAATTCTGCAGGTCTTAATGTGAAAATGTTTTAAAAAAAATCTTGAATCTGTTTTCCATTATAGAAAGTTTTGGGAAGTGTGTGTATGTATGTATGTATGTGTGTGTATATACTGATTCCTTGTGGTGGGACAGTGTGTATGTGTACAAATGAGTTTACTAATTCCTCGTAGTAAGACAGTATATGCATGGAGGGGGAATATACGGAGGCATATATACACGCATACTGACAGAAACACACGAAAATGGAAACAGATCCAAGAACACATAGGGGTCAGTAAAACATTAAAAGATAAAATGCCGATAAGTAATTCATTTCTCTTGGACCAACCTTAATTGTTTTATGACCCTTCACGCAGAACTCTTCATTGCCAATTCAAGAAAGACATTCAGATTACTAACACAAAAACAGAGAATGTCTCATATCAAGAATATTTAACATTGGAAAACGTAAGGAAAAAATTAATTATTTTTAATAATATGTGGAAATCTCCGCTTTTGCCTGAAGACGGTCGCAAGACCAGAAACATGTGTAGTAAAATTATGGAAAATAAAGCATAATATTTTTTTTTTAAAAAAAATCCACATTACAACCAAAAACGTTTGTGGCACCTCTCTTTCTTCTTTTTAATATACATACTTTTCTCTCGTTGTAACCACTACAACCTCTTTCTTTTATATATATATATATATATATATATATATATATATAGATGACATTTCTTTCTCTCACATGGTCATGTACGATCTCATAAAACCACATGAATTTATGACCTGCATCTGCTATTCCATGACTATTATCATTGCATAGCAAACTTCTATGTAAACAAAACAGTATGTCATCTTTGATGGTGAATATCTTTGTTGTAATGGCCATATAACCATTCTGATGATGGCTCATGTGAGCTGAAAGCTTAGATCAAGAAACAGCATAATAGTTGTTGTCTGTTATATTTAACAATATATGTTTGAATAATGGTCTGCTGCCCTAATACACTATATATATATATATATATATATATATATATATATATATATATATATAAAACTGTTTTTTAATTCTGGCATTTTTGACTTTTTTGAGAAGATGAATGACTGCTTAGGAATACCAGGTTCTGTAAGCTTCGATGTGTGTGTGGCATAATGGATAATGGCTTGGAATTGTTAATTGGAGAGCCATGTTTCAATTTCAGTTGGGTTCGTTATATTCACTTATGTGCAAATACTCTTGAGAAAGGTATGAATCCACCTTTTCTTAAAGAGAGGATTAGTAAGACTTGTGTCACTAAATCATTATTATCCGAAAAAAATTCTTACAATCTAAAAATATTTTCGGGCTTGCAAATGGTTCATGAGACTTGCTTGGGATGAAAATGATTAAAAAAATGTCAAAATATGTGGTTGTATTCTGTTATAATTCCGTATTTTGCAATGGAACTATTTTAGTTAAAGAGAAAGGCGTATGTGTATTATAAACCTTTATTTACATAATTATGTTTCAGGAAGCAGTCAGGGTACAAACTTAACTAAACGCACCAGTGCCCTGGCTTATTAAGCACCAGCTATTCGTGAATCTGTTTTACTATTTCTCATTTTAATTTCATATTGGCTTAACAGTGCATATGAAGTCATCAATTTATGGAAGCATAATATTGAAATAAATGTAAGGAATATTTTATGTTGCAAAAATGTTGATTTATTAACAAATCTAAAAAAATTATTTATTTTGACACATTTATATATGAAAATTAATAGTCACTTTAAATGGATTGTTTAAAAAATTGTTGATTTAAAACTTTATACAATTAGAAAGTACCTGCTTTTTTATTTAAGACAATCATCATCATCATCATTCATTCACTCATTCAGTTAGCACATTTTGCGTCAGTGTGGTCACCACTCCCCTCTGTTGTAATTGTGGCTCATGGTGACATTCAAAGCCAAAGAGGGCAATGGCTTGCTGGTTCCTTTTGCACCAGGGATGTTGAGATTAACCCATCCCTCCTCTCAGAAGTTCCTCTGTCCACTGGTAAAGCCATTGCCCACTGAAGCACAGTTCATATGCCGAGGTCAATGCCCACTTAGAACAGGTGGGCTTAGGATGCACCTCTGCATCCACAATGATGCAGAGGCACTTTTGGATTCTATTAAGACTGAAAATGGAAGACTAGGCAGCTCCTGCTGATATATGACAGCAGTTCTCCATTTTAGGCCAACAACAACAAAAAAAAAAAGTACACCTACAATAAGTCAATTTTTACTTGCAAATTCATGTATATAGCTTAATAGACGGAAAGATCCAGATCTAGGTTTTGATTCTATTGTTCATAACTCTGCTTACTTTTCATTACTTGAAAAAATGCTTCAGAATTAGGGCAAAAACATTTTATTCTCCATATAATCAGATAGGAATATTAGCAATGACTTCATCTGCAATCTATTCAGTCATTTTTTAATGTCAAGGTTAAACAAAATTTTATATTCTATATAGCTGAATAAGACCTCTTCCACCTTCTTTACAGGGTATATATAATTTGTCTGCATCAGCCTTTGGATGATGCATGTTATGATTAGAAAGAAGCTTTCATGTCTTAGGAT